AAGTGTTCTTCAGAGCCACTTAGTCTGTAACGTCTCCACAGGCGATCCCTTTGTTGAAAGAGGCGCCTAAGTCCGAGTTTATCCACTTTGGACGGTTTGTAAATGTCCCTCCCCTGAGAGGACAGTTGGAAGAAACAGCCTAGTAAGGAACTGAAAGTATTTCAATTTTCGCTTGCTCCCCCATGCACTTCAGTCTCCAATGATACCGCTGCCGTTGTTCTCTTCTTGAAATAATAGTCTTCCTTTCAAACGTTTCTCTCCCACCTATCGGACAGAATTTATTTTAAAACACAGTGAGTTCTCGAAGTAGAGCGTAATGTGATCGCTTAACCCTAATGGCAGGTGCTTCTGCAGGTCTGACACATTTTCCTCCTTTCGGGTAAAAGTAGATCAACGCAGTTCGACTGATGACTTTCCCTAGCCCGGGTTCCCATGATTCCTTTGCAATCTGTTATGCCTGATTCCAAAATGGGTTGATACGAAAGACATTGATGAACACATGACTGTGGGTAGATCTTACCATCCCATTGGCACAGTATAAGCAGAAACACTGTTGTGCGTGACAGTATTTGGCGAAGTGCGGAGGTTTGCGTGATGAATTATTGGCCGCAGAATCGTCGGAATAACAATATACGTCGAAAATAGCAATAGGCAGTACTAACAGATGGATAGTTCTTATTTGAGTACCCAGAAGGGCACTTTCATCACATAAAAATATTAACAAAAAATCTCCGATCGAAAGAATAAACCAATCCAGTTTTTAATTTATGTTTGTAAAAATCACGCCCGCCTATTCGTGACGTTACCGGTACAAGGGGACAGTGAGGAATAAAAATGGAAAGAACTGTCGCTCGCGATAGGAAAGTGCATGTGTGGAACTGAATAGCCCCGCTGGTGAGGGAGTATGAGAGACTGAAACGCTCCATGTCAAGGGAAAAATCAGAAAAACGGCAGAGGCTACATGCACCACCATATCATTGTGAGTAAAATCATATTTGTAGGCTAACTACAGGAGTCACCGTTGGAGAGGTGGGACAGAGAAATTTTCCGCTAGCATAAGCATGCTTCCGGGAATCGAAGCGAGAAGTGGCTGGAAAGGTCACGAAAAACATCGCCGAAATGCGGACGATGCGACCATGATACTACCTTGCCGACTGAAGAAGTGACCACAAGGTAATGAAACCAAGAAACTCGTCGCGATTCTCAAGAATTCAATCAGGGTCGACAGGAGGAGAAAAGCTAAAGGCTTCGAAGGCCATTTCCTTAATTTGCAGTAGATTCGATCATATACTTCTTGATTGATGAGATCATAACAATTCGCATTAGGTCTCGAGATCAGAGGAAACCATCTTTAAGGTGACGAAATGGAGAAATCCAAAGGGGTCGTCGATACTTCGCATTCTGGCAAAAAAGAGCAGCGGCGATAACTGTAACGAATTTTATATCCGCTTGGGGCAATATCAACAAACTTGGCAACAAATCAGCACTAGGAAGAAACACCTCAAATATCAAGTGGACCTTTTCGAAGTTCAAAGTAGACTCTTAAGATTGAAACGGGCAATACGGACTTCATACCTTTCGTGAAAAAATGCTTATATAATTCCAACTTGTGTGTCGTTGATGCAGATAACTATCTAATTTCGAGGGGGAGATTACTTCAAAGAAAAGCATATTTGAGCCACCAAAACCGAGAACGGCTGGACGTTGAACAATGAAACATAAGGTCGACTTACTGGACTTGAAACGTTAAATCGTGGAAAATTAGGATTAGAATTAATATGGGACAGGAAGCAAAGGCCGGCTTCCAGTCTCTTAACCCATAAGAATCGAATGTTCGCTAATTGATATCTTTCAGTGTAAGAGATGTTGGATGCAGAACGAAAAGAGATTTTTCGTGTAAAAACTTTCTGAACATTAGCGGTTGTGTTGTGGACTACAACCCCCGAGAAATCAAAAACCCGACGAGATAGAATATTCGGAGCAAAATTCCATGTGTTTGTGTTGTCAGTCGCATGTTTCTGTGCAAGAAAAACATATCACGAAAATGCAGGGATGACTCTACCGGTTTCTACTGATCTCGTTATGATTCTTTTCGAGGTAAAAGATACTCAGACAATTCGAAAAATTAAATCGCGGTTTTAATTCCAGCACTGTCAAATGAGACACCGACTGAATCTGTGTCATTTGCGGCTTCACGAGATTAACGTTATTCACCAGCTGCCAAAAACTTCTTCGCTCCCTCCCATACACGTCAGAAATGCCACATCCACACTACTTGACAGATGCTAAATCCTAGATGACTTATCGCTAAAAGAAGCTGCAATAGTATGAATGCTGAGTAGCTGGCTTTGTACTTTTAGCTGGCTGGGATAAGTAGAAACTTGACCTGTAATGGACGTTTCAGAATCAAAAACCTTGATATACCATACATCCATTGATAATGAAGGAACCCACTCTACATTCGATTTCAGCAACTTCTTTGTCTCAAGCAGACCGACGCCGTCCGGATTTTGACAAAATCTCAGTCGCCTCTGTATGATTTAAGTATCCTTATCATTGCCCTGTTTCTTCACGATCCCTTTCCGTGAGACGATGGCCGTCTGTTCTCTACTCTTTGGGAGCAATTCGAAATCCTGCCTTCCTTCCTTTGACGCTTCTCCACAGGTTTCAGAGCACGTCATAGTCTTTCGCATCCGACGTTCCTTCACCTCTGTCTGTGGAGAAGGTCGGATAGCTAAGAATATGACAGTGGGTGGGTGGTTGTTCTTCAGCTGAGTGGTTGTCAGTGCTGAGTTTGCGCAGTCATAATTGCTTCCCAATTAAGTTGGAAGTTTTGGGATTTTGCCCACTTCCGTACTTCCCAATGGTTGGGGTATTTTGCTCACGCGATCGTTCCCCTCCTTCCTTAGCACTTTTTGCATTCCTTAGGCCGGCCGTTGGAAATTAGCGGATGGCTGTCGGTTAAATCGGCTAGTTTGGAGACAACCGGTTGGCTGTTGCAGACTCAATAAATGGACTTTAATTTACCATGCCGCAGCAACACTACAATAAAACATATGAGAAAATTAATATTCCACATCAACAATGCAATTTTCAACCCGAGATCGATACAACGTTTACATCGTGTAGAGTAAACTGAACCATCAATATTCGGTATAAAGTCCTGCGCACTCGAAGCAAACTCGCCAGAATTCTCTGTGCGGCGTGACATCTCGACCCTAGCCTGAGACCCTTCTGTCGTCTTGCATTTGTTAGGCCCTGTTTGTCCGCAGTTAAGTCGCCCTAGTCTACATGGAGTTGTTAGTGTGCTATTTCCCAGGCCAAACGCGACATATCTGTTAGGAAAGGGATTAGTAAACTTAATATCCTGCAGAGTCAACCGTGCGTCCGTGATGGGCGAGGAGCTAGGGTGCTCGCCTTGTGGGAGGGTAATCGAGAGATCGGCCCTTGTCCAGCTCGCGTCGTTTTTGTCCCATACAGTTCTACATTTCCTACGTCTGTGTGCTAGAAAAGAAATTCCGGGGTCTATAAGACAGGTAGTGACAACCGCAAAGGTAATACGACTTACGATTGCGTAGTAATTGACCTCAAATCTGATATCAGAGCGGTGAGGTATAGCGTTACATAGCCTTCATAGAAATTCCTTCATGCCTTCGCGGTTAAGAGTTTCGGGGAACTCTCGGCGAGCCCAGGAGTTCAATTTACTCGATCAATATACGTTGCGGGAATCCGTGGATCAGATTCTGTCAGGGAACATATTTGAAGATATCCTGTCTTACCCGTAAAAAATTTCGCAAATATATGGGTTTTAGCACAGCGTTTGGCGTACAAATATCTTCTTATAGAACACCACTAGACTAGAAATTCAAGCGCGCACGTCCTGTGAATGTGGATATAGGCGACAAATGCTTTCAAGTATCATCTCTACGAGACGGTGTTTAATCTATACAAACATCGAAAATAAACGGAAAAGTGCATGCTACTTAAGTATCAGTTTCCTCTCGAATTTAATCAACACAGGCGGGTCGAAGAATGACCAGTCAAAACACAGCACTCACTCACGTAAAAGTTGGCTAAATATTACGTAAAATGCATAACTTTTGGGCACCCAAAAGTGATTATCTCAATGCCCGTCAACACGTTCCATAAGTCAGTTCACAGACTGTAGGAACTAATAGAGATTTAGCTCCTGGTAGGCCGATCAGGGATCTAGTCTCATGCCAGTCAGTATTCTGACTGCATCTGACTAATGTTTCCTAGATGGACGGTAATGGAGGGATTCCGGCCGATGTTTCATGATTTTTGGCGTGTGGCATACGTAGATAGTTATCAGTTTATTTGTTGAAGTCCTCAATACCCTGCAAACTGCCAGATGCCACAAATCCAATACGATCATAAAACAGCAGACATTTTCTACGCTAGGATAAGCGAGTTCGCTTGAGCTGTGCAACCTTTTCCATGCCTCTCACAAACGAGCATAGTCAACTAAAATCTGTCTCCAGTCTTAACGTTCACAAGATGCTGGCATTAAAGAGGCCTAGTCGTCAAGTATGGAAAACCGATTAAGATCCAAAGCTGAAGCATATGAACAAAGCACACCTCATCATTTATTCGGATAGAGAACGAGAAAGCGATCCTTCTTACCTATAGCGAACTCCTCACTTCCAAGCACCATTAGACTGCGCAGTTCGCTGCCTGTCTAACCCAACAATTTCGCAGCGGCCGTAAAGCCGATCGACGACATCCACACACAAATGGGATGGCTGCAACAGTACAGCAAACCAGACTGAGCCGAAGGCAAAACTCAGATTAAAATATGCTCTCAAAATATGCACAGGAAATAAAAATTAGCAGAAAATACTACAAACTTCAAAGAAGAATCCAGTAGCATCTGACGAAAGAACAATGGTTACACTGTTGGAGAAGTCGAAAAACTAGGGGTGGGGTTGAAGAGCATAGAGAAGATACAAATTGTCAGTTATGTGCGCCGGCGTTTAGGGTCAAATGGATAGCTTAACCTTTGACGAGTCAATTAGTTGAGCGGCCGTCTCATTTAGTCCGGAAAAAAGGAACTGTACATCCACCCAGGCAATCTTGCCGAGGGTGCTGATGAGAGTATAGGCAAAACCATGAAGTGCCAGCGCCGGTTGTCGCCACTCTCCCCAGCCCTGACTGCTGTACGAGGGGTCGTCGTAGCGCTGAAAACTGGCATCTCGGGTCACCTGGCGCAGACCACCACCGCTGCTGCTTCCGCAGCTGAGGACACGTTTGTGATTAGTGGTAAAGTCAATGCGATCGATCAGCCAACCAGAGTTGAATCGGATGGAGTCGATGGTCTCACCCACGCCCAGTTCAAGTTTCCGACTTAAAGAAAATAAAAGAGGGGAATCGCGTAGAAGCCAGGGAGAAGTAGCATAAGGAATCACCAAAATCCCTGTTCAGGGCTGTTCTTTGGAAAGAAACATCTGGGGTCATGCTAAAATGTGTTTAAATAGGTCGGCTCCTGGGCTGGACTTAGGACCGACGGTCGCTCACGTTCTTCGTCTTATTTAAGGTTATTCTCACAGCAATCTCGTTCAGAATGCCAAACTTTATGAGATTAAGGCAATACCTGCCTAAACAGACTTGCCACAGCAAAAATACCAACGGTATACCAGATATCCAGCCAAACATGCTTATGCCTTCCGCATTGCCTAAGACAACTGTGGGACAGGATAGGTTTCCATTTACATCTCCGAGTCATCCGTAACGCCACCGACATTATACCCCAGCAGGAACATTCAAGCCATATCAAACTAAACTGGTCGTCGTCAGAAACGAGATATTATCATGTGCCTTTAGGGATTCATGGGATGCCTAGGAATGGGAGGAGCCCCTGATGGCGACCAAAGTGGGCATTAAAAATTTTTAGTACGATAATCTATTACTGGTTCATCAAGAGTCCATGGGTGGTGCTAAAGCTTTTCGTTTTGAACATATTCTGTTTTACAAACCACGATAGCCTCCTGCGGTAACGATTGTCAAAAATCTTCTGTTGTGAGCCCGGATTGCGCATAAGTTACCAAAGGGATGACATTTAGTGTACCCCTTATTTATCGGACACCACTTCCCTGCTAAATATTGAGGAGAGACCATAGATACCCTTAGTAAACAGATGTCGAACGGAGGGGAACGTCCGAGTTCCAGATGTGCCTGAGAAGGCAAGAAGACGGCGAGGTTTGGCTCTGCAGCCCCGCTTCATTGATATCAAATTCCTAAAGCAATTTTAGTACATGCAAGTATGCTAACCTTACATATGTTACGTGTTTGCGCCTGTCTTACCATTTTAATCCGGCGAATGTCTGTGTCTCGAGGGCGGGAATGCTTACAAGCCAGCCTCGGTTACAGCAGGTGTCAGTTCACACGCGCTTTCCTGCACGTGCTTCGAACCCTGCCTGCGCCGAGTGGCTAAGTGGGCTTGCTAATGGAATTGTTCGGACGGTGCGGAACTCCGTTGGTTCTATTACAGTGGCCTTGTGCTGCGAATTACCACGCGGTTTCCTCCGTGGTCCTTCAGTTGGGATTGCACCCTCCATAACCTACTAATCGAGCGAGTGGCTGTGTCAGGAGGAGAATGTGAGCACGTCACCTTCAAGCGCTTCCCTGCTCGTGCTTCGAGCTCTGCTTGTGCTCGCTTTTCCTTCCTGATCCAGCGGGTGGCTAAACTAGGTATGCTAAGTAAAATTGTTTTAGGAAGCTAACCCCATGTGTTATCAATGAAGTGAGGCTGCAGAGCCAAACGTCGACACGAAGACTAATCGAGCGCCCGAGGCATTCGTTCATTTTTCTGGGCGTAACTCACCAGCTACTTGAGTAACGGTTCTCGGGCTCACAGCTGATTATCAAATGCAGCGCTCGCCCCTCCGCATGCAGAATTAAGGTTGATTCTTCGGCTGAGCAATTACTTCCGGAAGGATCCTCAGCTTTAGGGAAGCGCGCCGGGTGGCAAATTCAACTACTGACTGACAACTTAGTGTCAACATTAAGCATGGAAATTAGCCATTTGGACATGATCGGCGAAGCCATTGCCGCGCTAGCTACGAACACACGCGACGAATGTTCGGCATCCAGTGAACAAATATTCAGCCGCAAAGCATAGCCGCATCGTAGGTATACCGCAGCCTCCGGATACTCCTTACTACCCTCACTGATCTCGTCTGGGATGATACGCTCGGGTATAAATGTGAAGCGACTACCTACGAGAAGACACACTGATGAGCCGAACGCCTCGCAGCTGTGTTATGCAGCGGCGAGGTATCGGCAAAACACGCGTCTGGAGTTTCAGCTAGTACCTGTGGTGTCGGTACGGTGAATCACGCGGAATACCAGAGACCCACGTAAGAAATCCCTCCTAATCGAAAACGCATTTCAAAATCTTGGTCAATATTTCCTGAGATTAGTCACTGTTTGCAGATTGTTGAGAAATTGCCTTTGTTTGCCGAACTCCCGGACATCTACGAAAGGCGAGACACAACGTGCAATACGTTACTTCTGTTCAGCAGGAAAGCGAACAGGTTGCCGGGAACTAGAGGCTGAGGCCAAGATAAGCAAAGCTCGTATATAGCATCTCAAAATCCGCATCGAGCAGGGCGCCCGACTGTATCTTAGTCCTTAAAGCAAGTGTAGTCAAAGAATAAGGTGTAAAAAATGTGAGAGAATAGGAGGCGTCTAACCGGATGCTCTTTTCGGCGCCAGGTATTTCAAGTAAATGGCCTGAGTGTTCTTAATGGAGGACTGGTGTATCCTGACTATCGGCAGGGGCGTGACGCGAACACCCGTGGACACGAGCTGCGCACTGGACCCGCCCGTTTCCGATGGTGGACAACGAGTGCTAAATAAGCATCTCCCGGTAAACGCATCCTCCTCCTTCTTCTACCTGGGAATCACATTCATGCAGTTATCGGTCATACAATGTTAAAAAAGGCTCACATCGGATATTGCATTCCATGCGTAGTATTTAAGTTGCACAAGAACTGTCTCAGTTCGCCGGACCAGATGTTGCGGTACTCCACGTCCACGCCTAGGAAAAGCAAAATGGGTTGTTAAGTGGTAAAAGGAGCACAGACGACAGTTAATAGGGGCGGATGTTAAGGAGAAACATGGTGTCGATTGTCCATAAGTGTCGCAGACAAAAGCAATGGGACATTGAAATGGCCACTTGCTGTTCATTAGTCGCCATTAGGCAGTGACATCTCCAACGTTGGTCCGAATGTGGCTCAGTGAGCATCCAGGACTAACACCAAGCTGGCATGATCAGAAGAAGAAGCGATCGCTGGAACAATGGCTTTATTCGCCTGACGTTTCGGATTCTCTCTTGAATCCATCATCAGAGACAGTTGCAGAAATCGAGACCGTCCACCTACTCCTACGAAACAAATACGATGAAACGGAGAATCGTCTCGGACATGCCCAAGTCCTTCAGCTCCTAAAGTTCTGTCTCAGGACGTACTTCACGTTTGACGGAACAATCTACGAGCAAGTGAAGGGAACACCAATGGGCTCGCCAATTTCGGGATTCATCGCCGAGGCGGTGCTACAGCGGTTGGAGTCGCTGGTCTTCCAACACCACAGACCGAAATTCTGGGCTCGGTATGTGGACGATACCTTCGTCGTCATCGAACGGGATCAGGTGCTATCGTTCAAAGAACGTCTCAACAGCGTGTTCCCGGACATACAATTCACGATGGAGGAGGAAGAGAATAACCAGCTGGCATTCCTTGATGTCCTCGTCTGTCGCAAAGATTGTGGTGGCCTAAAGACCAAAGTGTTCAGAAAAGCAACGAACGCGACGCAAATTCTGAACTTCAACAGTAACCACCCAATCTGCCACAAACGCAGTTGCGTAAGAACGCTATTTCGGCGTGTTGAGACGCACTGCAGTGAACCGGAAGACAAGGTTGCCGAATCCCAATATCTTCAACAGGTTTTCCGAGAAAACGGTTACCCGCGCAACTTCGTCAACCAGTGCCTGCGCAAACGAGACGAGCGACAAAATCGCGCCGACCCCAAATTCTGGCGAGCGATCCCGTACATCAAGAACGTCTCCGAGGCCGTTAGCCGCCTTCTTGCACCACTTGGGGTTGGAGTTGCGCACAGACCGGAGGCCACCATGAGGCGTCAAGTGATGTGACCAAAAGACCCACTGCCACGGCAAGAAACATCTGGAATCGTTTACCGGATCTGGTGCAGTTGCGGACAAAGCAACTACGTCGGAGAAACTGGAAGACTGCTCCGGACGCGAATCGCCGAACACGTGGCAGCTGTACGGAGAAATGACGCCAACTCTCAGGTCGCGGCCCATTCGACGAGACCCGGCCACACATTCAAGTTCGATGAGGCCGAAATTCTCGCGAGAGGGGATAATCGCGTGAGCCGCGAGTTGCTTGAGTCATGGTTCACGGGACCTCAGTCTATCAACAAGTGCAACGACATTCCCACTCCATATTCTGTCCTGAGGCATAGACTGGCCAAAGCAATTGACCACTCGAGGAGCGCGCAAGCACGTGAGCCAGATGGCCGAGCAATCATCACGCCAGCATCCAACACGGGTGATGAGATGTCAGCAATTAACAACTTGCATGCCGGCCATCAAGCAATTAGCGCACCAGCGGGCAACAATCCTTGATGAAGGGAGCACGGTTAATTGCTGTAGGTATGCGGTAGCATGGCGACCGCATCCTATGAATACTGCGACTTCCTGTACACTAGCCACCCTTTTCTGCAACTGTCTCTGATGATGGATTCAAGAGAAAATCCGAAACGACAGGCGAATAAAGCCATTGTTCCAGCGATCGCTTCTTCTTCTGATCAACTAGTTCCTGGAACTCGCATTTTCGCTTGTATCACCAAGCTGGCATTCTACCGACTGATATCAGGAATAGGCGGGGTCAAATGGAGATAGAATTAGTAAATTCCGCTTTGCCTAACAAAATCCGATCTAGGGCCAACGCAGGGCGCCGTGTAGTGGCGAGCAAAAAAACGCGGACGAAATCGAGCGGGTGAGTAACCGCAGCCCTTTCTTCAACATACTGAAATTATGATAAAACACCAGGATCCATTTCTTCGAGCATATCAGACCGAGAGGGAAGATACTAGCCAAGCTATGAGATAGACTAGATAATGGATGTGTGGCTGCCAGCAGCCACAATCACTATCCGTTGAAACAGCTCTGCGACTTACGCCCTCCTGACGGACGCTTTGCTCTGACACAAGCAAATAGCCAACTCAAGACGACCTGCTCTGTGTACAGAATAAACCTCCTATTACAACTACCTGACTCTTGACATTAGACGGAACGAAATTAATGTGCGGCTACAGGTGATCTCCCATCCTTGACCGCCACACGGTGACCCCGATTCTCTGAACACTGGGAGATCGCAAGGCTTCAGTCTACAACAACCGTCGTCCGGAAATTCACAGGATAATGTCGCATGGCCAAAACTCACTCATCAACCCCCCATTTCGAGAAGTGGATATTAAACACATGGTCATTCACATCTCTACCACTGGACCTCCCAAATCCTGCCAACCGCGTCGTGTTGCTCCACACCGTTTGAAGATTATCAAGGCAGAGTTCAAACGCACGCTTGAGCTTGGCATCATCCGACAGCCTGATAGTTACTCGGCATCGCTCTTCAATCTTATCCCAAAGAAGACTGGTGCTTGGCGACCGTGTGGCGACCACCGGACGTTAAACTCAGCGGCCACCCCTGACCAATATCCTGTTCGGCACAACCAAGACTTCACCCTCTCTCTCTCTCTGCATGGTAAGATTGATGTTTTCGCGCTTACCACCCAATCCCAATCGAGGACAGCGATGCGCCGAACACCGCAGTTACCACTCCCTTTGGATTATTCAAATCCACTCACATGCTCTTTGGTTTGAGGAATGCCACTCAAATTTTCCAGCGGCTTATTGATCAAGTGCTGATAGGTCTCGACTTCGTCTACACTCACATTGGTGATTTGCTGATGGCGAGTTCTGACCCTTCATAACGCGAGGTTCATCTTCGGAGACTGTTCAAACGACTCGACTCCTACGGCCTTATCATCAATGCTGTTAAATATAAGTTTGGAGGTTCCAGCCTAGTTTTCTTGGGTCACGTAGTGGACTGTCATGGAATAAGGCCTTTCCCTGAAAAAGTTTCCGCCGTATCGTATCTCCCAGTCCCAGCAGCCATCAGTCAACTATGTCGTTCCTCGGGAATGGTGAGGTACTATCACCGTTTTCTCCCCCATGGTGCCGCCATATTGCAACCGCTTAACAGCGTGTTGGTTCGCCCTGAGAAGACGCTGGCGATGAACGAGGTCGTAAAATCGTTCGATGACGTCAAGGCTGCCCTTGCACATACAACTCTGCCTGCCCACCCTAGTTTAGATGCCCGACTAACTCTTATGACGGGTGCTTCCAGCATTGCTGTTTATGCATCTCTCATGCAACCTGCTGATGACGTTCTACAGCCTCTAGCTCTCTTTTCAAATAAGTTAAGCCCAGGAGGGACCCGTTAGTGTTTTCTGACGAGAACTCTTCGCCGTATACCTAGCCATCCAGCATTTCCGATACTTCCTCGAAGGTTGTGAATTCATCGGGCTTACGGACCACAAACCTTTGGTGTTTGCTTTGAGGGCTATTCCCGATCGATACTCACGTCGCGAGATTCGCCATTTAGACTCCACTTCACAGCTTTCCTATGACATCAAACACGTCGACGGCAAGGGAAACCTGGTTACTGATGCCCTATCAAGAATCCAGATGGACTTCATCACGACAAACGCCATCGATTTCATGCTCACGGCTAACACTCGACAATCAAACGACGAACTATCCCGATAGCGTTACGAGAACTCCTCTCTACTTCTTCAAGATGCCCCTCTTCCTACTGGAGCTGGCACTATCACTTGTGACATTTCTACCGGGCCTGAGCGTCCCTTTGTCCCATTAACTTGGCGACGACGAGTCTCCAGTGCCTTTTACAGCCTATCCCACCGTGGAGTACGGGCGACAGTGAAACTCATAACTGGCCAAATACGAAACGGGATATGCGGCGTTGGATACGATCTTGTCTCTCATATCAACGCACCGAAATCGGCCGAGATATCTCTAGCCCGGTAGGCACCTTCGCCACTCCTGATGAGCTTTTCAGCCACGTGCATATTGACCTGGTGGGTCCTCTTCCACCATCTAATGGTTCTGCCTATCTCCTGACCTGTATTGACTGTTTCACACGGTGAGCGGTTGTTGTGCCCATTCGGGACATCAGTGCTGAAGCCGTGGCGAGGGCTTTTCTGGTGCATTGGGGGTTCAATCTTGGAGTTCCTGCGACTGTCACGACTGACCACGGATCCCAATTCAAGTCCACATTGTTTCGCGAGCTCACTTTTGTTCTCGGCATTAACGGATTCTAACGACGGCATGCCATCCCCAGGCGAATGGCCTAGTCGAACCATCGACAGTCAGATGTGGTTATGTAGCCCTACCTGAAGTAAACAAACCCCAGCTATCTGTGATACGTGACCGGTGGTAATAGGAGTTTGTACAGGTAGGGTCGGGGGACGCA